ATTTTGATTTAGGCTTCATTTAACTTCGATATACCGCATATATTTTGCTGGTGAAAACAATAGAGGTCTTTAAAGCTTCGAAGTCAAGACTTGATCGAATGTTACGCGCCATTGATTTTAAAGCGCATCCCGAGCATTCAAACCAATTTTCCTCCTATTCGTTTGTACAGTATATGGTGATTTCTTCCCGGGCCCCATTCCGAAAACGTGCTCCGTATATTCACGCGAAGACTATAGGTCCGGATTCCAGAATGCTGGGCAATGTGAATCGAGGCATACGGTTGCTTGCTCAGCCGGGTGGTGTACGAACGAAAGCTTGGCACGTTGAGGGTGGGTCGGGGAGGGGGGTTTGGTGGTACAGTATGTGTTCTTGGATCGAAATTAGGCGATGAGGGGAAGAGGAAAAAGCGCTGCGTCATATCACAGCCATGAGTGCTTCCCGAGTGCATCTCTCAGTGGAAACCCGACTCCTTTCACTATCCCTGCTCCCGCGTCGTCCAATATCAGCCATAGCCAATGCATCCTTGCCAATACCCTCGGTCCCGATTCCCGAAGCAAACGTGACGGGAAAAAACAGAATAAAAATAGAAGAAAGAACCCGGGTCCCTTCCGCGTAGGTCGCGAGCAGATTGCATCCCGGCGCCTTCCGCTTATTGTACTGCAATGAAGTGCTTGGGATTTCTTGGTGACTTCTCCTCTATGAAAACGATTCCTCCGTTCAGTAGTAAACTTTTATAAGTTCACGCTCAACGACTGTCCATTTGAACATGTCTTTTTCTTCTTCCTAAAATGATTTGAAAACGTCTGCCCCAGTGAATTTAATAGTAAAATGTCACTTTTCAAACAAATGTTGCACGTTAATCCAACGGAGGATGTTGTGCTCGAAAGTCCACTTTCGTTAGTACGACTGGGGGTTCTTAATTTCCATGTCCCCTTCACGTTGCAAATTGACGAGACAGACGAAGGTGGATCGAACTTTTCAAGTATTTCTGTAAATCAATCATTTCTTTTTAAATTTGCGTACATTCAGGTTAAAATCACGAGGGCACAGAGTTGAAAGTACTGTACTGTACATCCCAGAAACAAAGGTTCATCCGTCACCATCGCCTATTTCGTTAATTATTTGTTGAGAAAAATTCAGAATGGCCCAAGTTATTGCATACCGATTTTCAAACAACACAACACTTGAGCAGTACGAAAGACGAAAGATTGAGTAAGTCTGAAAATTAAATACAATCGCTCTTCCATCGCTTTTATTGAATTGTTTTTTGTATCAAATCAATGTAGCTTACGAAAAAGCTTACGCTTCGGAAATGTTCCCCAAGTAATAGTTGAGTGTTACATGCTTCTATGCTACTGTATTTTCTTCCACCACGGACTCTCTTCTTAGAATAAATCAAGTCATTATTCCATGACCTCGAATGCACTAAAAACTAGAAAATCTGCAGAAATTTTAGCTCGTACAAAAAATAAAATTAATGCATTTCCTCAATCTATGCATAAAAGCTTTCTGAATCATACGATGATCCCGCAGAACTCTAAAGGAAATGTTATGACTTCCACAGTGGATCACCTGCATGAGGGTTACTCACGCATAATACAAATTAGCATGAAGTATGTATTGTACTGATTTTTTATCACTTATGCAATAGGCTCCATAGAACCAGCATAAATCAGAATTTTGACTTCTCATCTTGAAACAAAAGATAATATGCGGCAGAACTCGGGTTTACGTCTGGTCAACCGGGCTCGAGTTCACAGGAAACAAAGTTGCCGATAATGAGCAATTTTTTAAAGGTATAACCGCGTCATTTCTCTGAAGATTAACTAATTAGCGGGCCTCGTGCGAGTCGAAATTTCCAGGAATCCATGTACTGTACAATACAGTACAGGTAATAGTTT